CTGCATCTTGTAGACCGAAACAGATCGGAATGGAGGCTCCAGGCGATACCAAGTCGGACGATCTCGAGGCATCAAGTCCCGACTCCAAGTCTGCACACCCCGAAGGCTCAGATTCGCTAATTTAGTCGAAAACTGACATCACGATGACCTACTAAAAACGTAATCCCAACAGTTTCTCGGACAGCAACCCTGTTACGAATTCTCTCGATATCCGACTTCTTGGACAGATGTGCGGACCACTTTTGCCCCTTCCAACGAACGGACGATTACAGGCCCGGTCATCGCATTAGTGACACTCCTTCGAATAGCATGACCACGGAGAAATCTGAGCTGCTAGAGGTGCTTGCCCTGGCCTTCGACAGCATCAAAACAACGTTAGAAAAGCTACACAAGCGTGTGAAATCCTTTTCGGGATAAACCCCACTGACGGACCTCATTCCCGCCGCAACGTGAACGAACCAAAGAAAAAGTCATAATACCCTACAAGACACCTAATTCCACACCCAAACACAAGCAGTGGCATGGTACCCACGGTCGACGGACCTGCCACTTCAAGGAACTCAGTCTCCGCGCGCCCAGCCTCAGCAGGGAACTCGTCCCAAGGATCATCGTGTTTCAGCCACGCCTACTGGTAACTACAGGTGCCGCGTTATTTCAGGACCGTGCGCGAGATGCGCCGACTGAACAGCTCGCTCGCGACTCGGGGAAAATCAAAAACAATACTGCATCTGATAGGCTAAAATTTTCTTAGCGACCAAGTCACCCCGAGATCTTAACACCGCCACGTCGCGAAGACGCTGGGGGGAGCACCTACCGGCCCGGTGGGCAATCTGCAGGCATACTTCGATACGGCAATATAAGGACCCCTGTAAGAACACAAAGTGCCGCTAACACGCCCCAACAGGGGTGATACGATATGGAGACGATAAACGCGACCTGCGACTTTTGGAAGCGGCCTGAGTGAAGAGGTCCAATCCCAGAGAAAATCACAATGTCGGATGTCGACTTGGAATCGGTTGGCTCGTGCGAATGCGATCCAGGTGACTTGGGGAAAATTTTAGCGAGAATGGACAATACCACGATGAGACAAAGACCCAACACAGTCCATCGCATCGAGCTCTCCGCAACTGTGATCCTCTAGGAGTTTAATGGTCGAGAATTAGAAGAGGACCGAGCACGCACTCGTACGACCATGGTAAAGACAACCTTCGCAAAAGGCAACGCACTGTACAGAAAAAGTTGTCTGGTCTTCGAAAGAATGCTGATTAGGCCGGCGCAGAAATGGTAATGTCAATTGGTCCGTTCCGCTCGAAAAATTTGTTTGGATCTGCTAAAAGAATTTAACGATGCAGTTTTGTGGCAATTGGGTACTATTTGCCCGTTAGTACTACCACGCGAAGAAGAGGACTAACAAAAACCCCGTTTAATTTTTATTTATCGTGTGAATTTAATGGCCTCAGAAAGAAGTGTTATTAATTATAAACAAATTACCCTAGATCGAAAAAGAATACGTCGAGCATTACATCGAGACAATAGACAACCCAAAGTTTGCAGACCGATTTTACGATGCGACGTCCGGCAGACGTGGTAGTATTAGAGATAGCTCTATAGGCATGACAAAAGACGAATGCACGTCGTGGCAAGACGCGGTTCAGTTCTAGCAAGCTACGGTAGAAGGTACTTGCACCTTCGGATTGACCAAAATATGCCAGCTTCCGTTTTGTGCCTGCAATCCGAGTTACTCTAAAATGGTTAAGTTAGAAGGGGTCCAGCCTAGATTAATCCGATTACAATATAGACATGAGACGGATCTACCTAGCGGACTCAAAAAGGGACCTAAGTCCAAGAACCGCGAGAAGACGACCCCCAAGGGGGACTACTAGCATCGGAAACGAGCGATCGCAATACTTCGGCCTATTCAAACATGAGGTGAATTCTTCGCGGGTCCAGGAGACGTACAGGTTTAAGATGCTGATAGAGAATAACTAAAAGACACCGCGGGAAGTAGAGACATATATCGGACTGCTGATTTTTTGTGTGCCGGAAATGCGGAGTGGCCCATGAAGCGGGAAAACGCCAACTGAGGGACTTCAACAACTTGATTTGTCGAAGGCACAATCCCACTAAGCACGCCGGAATACTACCCAAAAATCCGATAATACGGTAAATGTATTAGAACGCTTTTCGGGTGTAAATTTGGTACGAGTTGAGCGTTCTAGCTTTTGTGTGATTTGCAAATGTGGAAAAGCATCCTGAGGAGAAAATGAAGATTTCTCACGGAGAAGAACGGATAAGTATAAGATTGAAGGATATCCCATAACCAAAGGTTCTTCTTTTTTATTGAACCTAGTGACTTTGCAGGAGAAATTGCATTGATGGAGGTATAACTATTTTTTGGAGAATGAAGAGAATACTGAATATACCACGCCTCAGCTAAATGGTTTGATACAAGCCAAATTCTTTGGGAAGATCAACAACAATCGCACAATTTTTTTGTCGACACTGGCACCGAAGTATCTATTTGGATGTCACCTTTGCTCGTAAGGTAGTCTGCCAATTTTACGAAAACGAACGACAAAAATGCATTAATTTTGAATCATTAATGTATTGTACGGAAAGGAGCACTCAAATTGAGGTCTTCCTCCATGGAAATAAATTATACGTGTTCAAAGTGTGGGCAGGCCTTGTGGAGGGTCAGGATGAAATGTTAGGGATAGTCTTCATGGTCCCAGCTGGGATCCGACTTGTACAGGCGAACGGAACACTCTGTCGTCTAAACTAAGACCGAATACAATTCTCCGGGCAAAGTAACGTTTAAGATAGCCGAGTTGCAGGCGTAAAGCTTACACAATATGCCCGTTTACTTTTCAGTGGATGTGAGGAAGTACCCTCCAAAAGGTTAGTCTCAAACTTATGGAGTATATAGGTCGCTAGACAAAAGCGATAGAGTTCAAATGTAATTCTTAAAAAGGAACGTGAACATTGCTGTAGGTGATCAGCGTCAGCCTCAACACGTTGATCGTACATGATGGCACCAAGATGGGTATGAGGATAACAAAGGATAAAGTTGTATAATTACAAGGTTCGTCTCGGTAGGCTCTCGAAGTCACGATGAGTGTCTGAACCCAACGTACGAAGCCGACACAGACCAATCTGACCTTCAAGATGTCCTCGAGGAGGAATACGATACACTAATAATGGGGGCCCCGCAGTAAAAGACCCCGTCGCGTACTATACAGCGGTCAGAAATCTCAGTGTCATGATGGAAATGTTTTACCGGCCATCACTACAAAAAAACTAACAGTCACGCAAGAAAGAGGTACTTCTACAAGAAAGACCCCTCAAGCACGAAGTGACCCCAAAGGCAATTTACCGGGATTAATCGCGGTAAACTAACAGGAAGCCAAGGCGTAAAAACTAATTGCCACGAGACGACAAACAAGAGTGTACATTCGAAAGCAAAAAGCTGTGTGGGTAAAAATAAAGCGGGGGTGGTAACTCATACCAGAAGTAGACAGGAGGGTTTCCCTACTGTAAATCTATCGAGGAGAGGGATATTCATTTCCTAATCCAGATGGGTCACTCCAGAAGGGGTGGGCTGGCTATGAAATATGATCTGGAAGACACAAAATCTGTCGATGGTGAAAGGGAATGCCTTAAGCTTGCACCTTGCGTTTGTTTTGTGAAATTTACGTAAGAAAAGAAAAGCTAATCTCGCAACGCGTACGAAAAGTAGCTCCTTAACTATAGGCGAAGTGGCTGATCCAATCTAGGGGATGTTATCGGCAAAGAATATACAGTTTTCAACGCCGCGCTGAGGCAGACCAATCATTTCTATAGTGAAAATTAGCGATGATGGAATTAAACTATGCATAGACTACAGGCTGGTGAACGACCTGACTCAACCAATGGTCTATTGCATGCCTCTTATAAACGATCCACCGTAAATATTAGACAAGGTATTACAGTATTGCTCATTGATTGTGGCTAGTAATTATTAAGTAGTTGGTATGACTGAAAGAAAAAAACTTGTTTTGGCGTTCATTGCCCCAATTAGATTGTTAAAATGGATGCGGATGCCGTTAGAGCTCAACGACGCGCTTCAATTATCTGAACGACTCCTGAGTTACGCCTTGCATGGGTTTTACGAATTTTTTTTATAGAAGCAGAGAAAGATGGATAAAAGGTTTTTTTTAAAGGTAAGAGAACTTAATGATCATTGGCTTCCTTGGTCCTGGGCCGGCGATCATATTTAAAAACAATCTGCTCCCATCAGAAGCATGGGATGCCTTGTGCACAAAAGTGGAACAGTTGTTGGATGCTTGCAATTACTGTTACTTAGTCTTTAGCGCAGTCGTGAGTTCGTAGGAGTGTTATAAGGATGGCTACCTCGGACATCGAGTATCAAGTAGGAGACTAAGGATGTAACGGGGCACCCTGAAGCTTGTACTGGTGACAGTACAAGCTACTTATTCTGATGAAAGAATGAGGCGGTGCCTCGTAACTTCACGTACACTGGTACGTGCAGAGGAAGACGGTAAGAAGAAGCGAGTACTTGGTTAAAGTAAAAAGTAGAACTGTATTTATAATAGTTAATGTCTGCAATAAATCACTATTTATCTTCATCTAACTACGTCTAAATACAAATGTGTATATCAACTATCTGCTCATCACTCATTGCGTGCGTCTGTCGTGGAGCGTCTTCGTTGGTTGATATAATGGCCTATATCAACCAATTAGGAACTATTCGTAAGAGCTACAAAATATTTGTCCTTATCACAATATTCTGAGAATCTAACTCTTATAGATATATTCTATTAACGATTTCTTATAAATTGTTATGTAACGATTCACCCCGTTACATCACCCCCCCCTTAACCATCAGTCACTTTAGTGACTGATTGACTAAATGGATACTCGTCCCAAATCATTTGGGACAGGGTTTGCACTTGTTGGTCCGAGTCCACTTTCCAACATCTCATCGCATGGTAAACAAGCCCATGCGATGCGCGAACAAGGCCGCCGAGAGCGCGTCCGCACGTCTCTGTGCGGACGCCGAAGCAGAAACCACAGCAACTGATGTCTCATCGGTTGTTGAAGCGACCCAGCCTGTGTCACTTGGTGATGCAGGCGCTGGTCATGAAGACACTCGTGTCTTCACAGAGTACGAGCTCGGTGTCTCGTACTCTCCTGATACGGAAGACGGATCCGTATCGACGGCGATTGAATCTAAGCCGCCTGCCAAGCGTGGCATGGACGATGCTTTGCGTCGCAGCATCTTTGGTTCATCTGATGAATCAGATGAACCATCGCCGAAGCGAAGGCGCTCGAGGTCGCGAGACTCGGGCGCTAATAGTGGTGTCGGTTCTCCTATGGACACCACTTCACAGCGAGGTGCCAGTACTTCTGTCGGCACGTCGCAGGAAGAGCGGGGCCGCAAAGTGTTGCGTCTCGCTCCTGAGAAGAAGGCACGGATGCCCCCTAAATCCGTCATGGATCACTTGTCGGCGACGACGAGTGATCGTTATCGAACACGATTGTTCGATTCGTCAAGGATCCATCACCTTGACCTCAGCGCGAAAAACTATCGCGCTGAGAATGAATTCTTCATCGATGCTTTCTTTAGACATCGATGGTACAGTGGGAATCACAAACGTGATGGTCCCTCACTACTTCAGGCGTGGAACGCCTACATCCATAACCTCGAGGATGTAGGTCGTGACGCTTGGAACGACAAACTTATCAAAGCTCGTGATAAGTTTGAAAAGCGAACCCCGACAGGTGCACGCTACAAGCTGCATCGTCTGTCAAGGGAGAAACGATTACCCTGCCTCTCTTGGGGAGACTCGTGCCCATGTTGTGTGAACAACTCTGCACGAGCACCTAAGGAGGCTTACCTCCTTACCAGCCCGTGGTGGCGCGTACGTATCTCTACTGAGATGTACGAAGGGATTGACAACTTGAAATCCCTTTACGACCGTGCCGGGAAGACTTTCTCTGGCGGTCCTTCTGCGGCACAGGATGTGCCGCGTCGTACTGCTCAACCAGACCCAGTACGTCGATCATTAGTTGGGAACGGGGCTCCCAAGTATCCCAGGACGGGGGATAACCGCGCCACCGGACGAAGTAACTCGTCCGACGCCCGTTCACATCGCGGTGGTTCAACAGCTGCTCAACCAGATAGAGCTGGCCACCGCGAGAGTCCTCTAATGAAGGTAAAGGAGGAGGGAAGGCGCTCTTCAAACTGTCGTGGGGGGCGTGTGTCTCCGAGAGCCTCATTGACCGCGTAACTCTTGTGTTACGCGGCGACCTCGAGCATGAGCGGGACAGGCGTCTTCAACTGACGGACACTGTCTCGAAGCATCGAGCTGAGTTTGCCTTTGCTCAGCTTGAGAACGAGAGAGCTTTGACATCTCTGCGTGACGAGCTAAAGGTAGCTCGTGGGAATGTTGATCGGTCTCGGGCTGAGATAACTGCTCTTCAGACCCTTGTTAATATCCACCATCGGGAGCACAAGGCTCTCTGCAAGATGCTTGAGCGCAAGGGCGTTCTTCATCGGAAGAAGCAGCGTACTGATGGTACGGCTTAAGCAGACCAACGTAAATCGTGGGATGCGTTCGCATCTTACGTGGCAACTCGATCGTGCATGCATTTCCTAGGCGGTGCAATACACGAAATGGACCGATGTACTTGGGTATAAGTTTACTGCTACCCAAGTTAGTCACTACATGCTTTGGTAGATTAACCGTAGACAGTAGGACTAAGTCACCTTTATTAAATAAAAGAGTGTTTGCCCTTCCATTCTTGTCAGCGTTTTGCTTTTGCTTATCCATCGCTTCGGCGATGGAGTCTTGCACAAAACGGACTACCGTTTCACGAGCCAGTATGAACTCATCTGATGACTCGTTAGCTTCAGTGTGCTGTGAGCGCACTGCAGCAACATCAACCTTTTCTTCAGTGAGGGCTTCCGCACTCTCACTGGCCTCATCTTCTTCGATATCGATGTTATCGATATCGGCATCAAACGCAATGACTTCTTCGTCAGAGCGTGATGAGCGTGAACCAATTCGGTTTTTGCTCGCGCGAGTCCCTCCCCCCCTTAAACCAGAGTTACACTCTAGTAAGGTGGGTACACGCGGATGGCGCAAGCCATTCACGTAAAACGGTGTATGTGTCGTGGACGCATGCACCGAGTTGTTGATGGCAAACTCTACCATTGGCAAAAACTCACTCCAACTCTTAAAGGAGTGTACGTATCCTCGAAGTATCTCTTCAAGGACACGATTGGCACGTTCCGTCTGACCATCTGACTCTGGATGATCAGATGTTGACATCTTCAAGCGCGTTCCGAGTGATTTGAACACGGAACGCCAGAAATCAGCAGTAAATCGTGGACCTCTGTCTGATACGAGTTCACGGGGCAACCCATGAAGTCGGAAGATGGTGTCAATAAAGACACAAGCACAGCCACTTGCCGTGATTGTCTCTGGTACAGCCACTAGGTGTACCATTTTGCTGAATCTGTCAACGAATACGAGAATACCCGTATTCCCGCGTGCGTCTTTGGGTAACCCGAAGACAAAATCCATTGAGATGGATTCCCAGCACTCAGCCGGAACCGGTAGAGGCTGTAAAGGTGCACGCAGTGAAGGACTTGACTTCACTCGTTGACAGACTTCGCATGCGCGAACATACTTTCGCACAAACTGATACTGGCGGGGCCAGTAAAAGTCTCGACTTACCGTGAGATATGTTTTCTCCCGACCACGATGTCCCCCTATAAGAGCTTCGTGATACTCGAACATGATCCGCAAACGCAGATCAGTATCATCTGGGATGACAACACGTGGTGTGTCACCAGAAATGGCTGTATAATACAGTAAACCGTTGCGAGTAGTGCATCGATCTGATTCAGATCGATACGCAGACGATAATCGTTTCAACGATTCTCGAGATGGCTGTGAGAGATGTCTCAACAACTTCACAATCTCATCATCTTGGGCGTATGCCCGCCTCACATCATCATACAACGTTGTAGATGGGACTGAGGACGTCATAACCGCAACAGTGACTGTCTCACTGTTGGGTTTCACCACTGTTCAAAGTCGGGAAGACGTGAGAGTGCATCAGCAACGACATTATGTCGACCTGGTTTGTACTCGACCGTAAAGTTGTATCCTGCAAAGAATGACAACCACGCCGCCATTCGTTGTGAAAAGTGCGGGATGTTCACTGCCGTGCGTAATGACGCATGGTCAGTGTAAACAATGAAGGGTCTATCTCCTAATAGATAGACTCTGAACTTCGCGAGTGCATACTTCATGGCAAGGAGTTCCTTGTCATGCACTGGATAGTTCCGCTCAGCTGGTTGCAGATGACGCGACTGATAGCAGACGACGCGTTCAACGCCTTCAAGATCGTACTGCATTAATGCACAGCCGATTGCAAAATCGCTGGCATCACAGACCACATGAAATGGCCTGTCCTGATCGGCTATTGCTAGGACTGGGGATTGTATCAAGCTCTGCTTGATACCATCAAAGGAGCGTTGACATTCAGCGTTCCATAACCACCTCTCGTTCTTTTCAACAAACGAGAGAGGTGTACAGTCATATCGGCGTAATTGCGTGAATACTTATGCAAATACGCCGCTAGCCCAAGGAATTTTCGAAGACCTTTGACATCAACTGGTACAGGCCAGTCGGTGATCGCCTTAATATTTTCGGGATCAGGACGTACACCGTTCTTACCAACGATGCACCCAAGAAGTGGTATTTCGCTTGCTGCAAATATATACTTCTTGAGGTTTTCATGCAATTGGTGCTTTCGCATGATTGTAAGAACCTGTCGGACGTGGTATCTGTGAACCTCAACGTCCGACTTTCCATCCATAGCCCGAATATGGATGAATACGTCATCGAAATAACTCGGTGCGAATTCTCGTACTGGTCTCAACAGATGTGTATCACATCTGTTGAACGTGGCAGGGGCATTACTGAGCCCTTGTGGCATTACTAGCCATTCCCAGATCATGCCGCTGGTGGTGCTCACTGCGGTATAGGGTATATCCCGTTCCCGCATAAGGATTTTATAGAAGCCATCCATCAAATCCATGGACGAAAAGATGGTACTCTTTGACATACCATCAATGTTTACGTCCTTCCTCGGTATCGGCGTCTGAGCCGGTACCGTTGCAGCATTCAACTTGTTAAATGCATGCACTATCCGCCACCCTCCTGTTGCTTTTCGCACACAGAAGGTCGGAGAGCTATGTGGGGAAGTTGATTCCCTCACATGGCCCGCAGCTAAACGATCGGCAAAGAACTTGTCGATCGCAAGTACTTGTTCACGAGGCAGTGGCCACTGCTTCATGACACAGTACTTCGAGCCTGGTTTAAGCTCGACCTCGTGTCGAATACCTTTATCCTTCGGTAATTCGCACGGAACAGTTTCAGGGAATACATCCTTGAATTCAACCAAATCTTCATAGAGAGGATTTGTCTTGAGCGATTCCCATGATTGGGAGTCATATCGCTCAATTCGTGTCTTTTCATCTAGGACACTCTCGTCCATCGATGAACTACTGAGAACCCTCTCGTTCTCAGTAAACACTGTTGCTGACCTTATGTCGGTTACACACTCGTCGTCAGCGAGGAGTACGCAGATCTGCTTGACTTTGCCACTACGCAGATCACGCAAGAACCTTTTATGTTCGAGCGTTGGCAACTGAGTGATCTCCGAAGTCAACTTCGGAGGCGCAATCAGATCAAGTGTATAAGCGCCTACACTTGATCCGTCATTGACTATGACATTCAATGTCTCTGTCATTTCCTGGGGACTTATTCCCTCAGGCTTCGAAGGACTTATTCCTTCGGCTTCCCGGGGACTTATTCCCGCGGGTTTCGGGGAACTTATTTCCGCCGTATTTGTAATCTTGGGACTTATTCCCTTTACTTCCTCTAGCTGGGGTTGCGCAACCACAGCGAGATCCTCTACGAAAGACTCTCCAGTCGATCTAGGATTATCGTTTCGCTTAACCTGAGCGATCGATTGTTTCTCTTCTAGATGTTCCCCGCTAGGGATACATCTTTGTCCCAGTCCACCCGACTTATTCGAGTGGTGGACCTTCGGCGCAGCCTGTGTTTCCTCACAGCCGCCGGAACTTTGCTCCAAAGTGTAACCGTTTGGTACACTAAGGTTTTGTGCAGTCGTACTAACGACCGTACCACAAGTGAGGCCATCGCACTCACTCGTAGTACATCCACACGCTTGTGGACGCTCCAAAACGTTCATCAGATGGCCATCTGATGAACAAGCGGCAGGCATCGTTACTGTTCGATGTTGCCAGTTTACTCGTGGTTCGTACCTTCTGAGCCACGGTATTCCAAGGATGACATCAAATTTGTCATCCAAATCCAATACGATAAAGTCATCGTCATATTGGGTATCTTCTAGCGTATAGCGAATCTTCACTATACGCTTCATGACGGTTACGGATGCGCCTGTCGCAAGACGTACCTTCATCCTCGTAGGAGGTGTGTCACATTCACTGAACTTAAAATGACTAACTTCTAGCGATTGGCGTCGCACAAAATTGTTGGACGCCCCACAATCGACTAGATCTCGAAGGGACAACTTATTCGTCACTTCGAGTTTCAAGGTAATGAGTGATATCTCATTACCTAGAGCAGCAACGCACAACGTTTGTGTGTTGGGAGCAAACTTCATCAAGAGGCCTACAAATTCTCTTGACGTTGCTGGACCAGTAGGGTGCTCCGCACCTACTGATCCTGTCCGTTTTTTGACGGTCCATCCCGTTGTTGCGTCTTTGCACCAACTGCGGACCCTCGTCCCTGCCCCTTTCTCATGGGTGGACGGTCACTACGCCCAGTGTTGCGAGACACTGGACGAGGGGCACTACACTCGTAAGCGTAGTGTCCTGTCTTTTGACATCTGTTGCATTTATGCAACTTCTTGTAGCCTGTAGAGCGAGCCTTCTCGCTCTCTACATAGCAGAGTTCCATCGGCTCTGGACCTCCGTTGTCATATCGTCTCGGTTGACGATATGATGTCGAGCTGGCGCGAGCATGTCTCAGACTGAAGTCTTCCTGCTCCGCAATGGAAATGGCTTGTTCTAGTGAATCTAGTTCAAGTCGGAGCAGGTGAGTCTTGACGGGACCATCCGCAAGACCCTGCATGAACACCGAAACCAACGTGTGTTCATCCACCGGATTGGAACTTATACAACTCGTAAGATGTCGTATATGTTGGGCGTAAGCGTGCACATCACGCTTACCATGTTTGAGCTTCAAGAGTTCGGTTCGAGCCCTGAACTCAGCTCTAGGCGGTTCAAACGTTTGTCTGAGCCGCGACTTGAAGACTTCCAACGACCCAAACGCATATGGGTCGTGCAACTTGAGCCCCAGTGCCCAAGTCTTGGCACGTCCTGCCAGATTTGACTGGGCAAATGCAACTTGCATATCCCCGTCGTCGATGCGACGCGCCCTTATGGCGTCATCCAATTCGACGAACCATCTCAAGAGGGAGTCCTCTTCGACCCCCCTATACTTTGAGATGTCAATCTTTAAAGTCTCGGGTCGACGCGAGTGCATCGACCCGCCAGCAGCAGCCTGCTGCTGTCTCAACAGTTCAAACTGTTGAGCACCTTGTTCTCTCAACAACTCTGCTTGTTGAGAACCTTGTTGGTGAAGCAAGGCTATTTCTCGCGTTCAGCGTCAAGTTCATTTTGAATGAACTTGGCGATAGTAGCATGTTGGGCATCTCTATTGAGAGCCTCTAGCATGACGCTAACAGCATGGATGCCCATGGTCGAACCCGTTCGTTCAACCGCATCCCATTCGACATCGCTCAAATGGGAGTAGCCGTCACGCGTAGCGTGAAAGCTTTGGTCATCTTCATCATCCAACATATTCATGTTGGATGTGAACGCGGTCCTTGGACGGACTACGAAGTGCTACCAGGTGTAACGGGGCACCCTGAAGCTTGTACTGGTGACAGTACAAGCTACTTATTCTGATGACAGAATGAGGCGGTGCCTCGTAACTTCACGTACACTGGTACGTGCAGAGGAAGACGGTAAGAAGAAGCGAGTACTTGGTTAGAGTAAAAAGTAGAACTGTATTTATAATAGTTAATGTCTGCAATAAATCACTATTTATCTTCATCTAACTATGTCTAAATACAAATGTGTATATCAACTATCTGCTCACCACTCATTGCGTGCGTCTGTCGTGGAGCGTCTTCGTTGGTTGATATAATGGCCTATATCAACCAATTAGGAACTATTCGTAAGTGCTACAGAATATTTGTCCTTATGACAATATTCTGAGAATATAACTCTTATAGTTATATTCTATTAACAATTTCTTATAAATTGTTATGTAACGATTCACCCCGTTACAAAGGATCACCTGAAAGATCTTATATTAAGAGTCGATCTACCCTTACCTGGAAAACTGAATTCCATGCAATCTGGAAAGCCTAGTTAATGTATTGCGTTTATTGAGGACTACGTCGTGTATAAATTGATCCTCTAAGATCTGAGAGAAGTGGACTTTCATGACCAACCAGTTAGAAATTATTTTTTGTTATTTGTAGGATAACAATAAAGAAAGGTAAGCCGCTTTTAAGTAGCATGTGCCATGCTCGAAAATAATATTGCCACCGCGTTGATTCTCAGACACTTTGACCCAGACAGAGAAGTTGTTGTTATTGTTTTTGCGAGTGAATGGGCCATTTCGTCCTCACTTGTATAGAATTATGAAGGACTGTCCAAACCGGTAATCTTTACGAACAGAACTGTAAAGGCTAACGAACTTATATACAGAACTGTAAAAAAAGAGGTGTTGGCCCTATTGCGTACCCTGGATCCCTCCGTCACTATGATAGTCACTCGGCCTCTAAAAATCTTGACAAGAAACTTGGCAATGATATAATTGATTTAGTCTGTCGGCTTGCAGAGACGCTCAGGAACCTGGGCCGCTTTCTTATCTTAGTGAATTTACCATTATTGTGAAGTGTAAAAAGGTGGAGACTATGTGCTGAGGTGTTGGCAGCAAGTTCCAAATTTCGAGAGAGAGTCGACTCAAAAAAGTCGGTTATTGCCCCTAAAAATCAGGCGCAGCAGAAGATCGACCTACCCCTCTCTACTATACGTAATGAGCTTCGATTGGTAGCACGCGTCATGAAAGGAGGTAGGGCTTAACGTGCTATCTTTTGGAGATTGCAAACGTGTTAGTCGACACCGCCTCCTAAAATCTCGATTTTATTTACCGTAGATGAGGCAGAATCTGATGGAAGCTGGGATATATCTTGCTGAAAATTTTAGAGCGGCGACGATTGATCATATGTGGAGATTCCAAAAAGCGTTGCGGCAGATGCTAGGTGAGATTGAGTGTAAGACCTCGGGTTTATCACCGTTACTGGTCCAGGATTATAGTGAACTCCCATCGTGGCCTTCGCACGGGATCCTGTATGTGAAACTAAATTAAAATTAGATTGTACTTCTATTGGCTGGTACCGCCTTGCACTAAGCATGAGGACCAAGTAGGTGTTGAGTGAAGAAAGACCAGGCTTGAAAGCGACCAACAGTTAAACGGAGCTGCTAATTGCTAAAGACCAGAACCTTTCTTGTTCATTTTAAATCGGCCGCGGTCTCCACTTAGAATATCCAGAGAGATCATACAAGAGGAGGTAGTACAGCGCCTCCTCGTGGTCGAACTTAAAAGGTGCAAGAAGAGGAGATATACATATAAAAATTAAAAGTATTTCTGAGAGGTGATGAAACGACGTGTCGGTGGATCCTCTAGCCAGTGCAGCAAAATGTACGATGCAAGCAAGGCATGATTGTAGGTATAATGAACAAACTCTAGAGTCCAAGGGGAAGACCTTGACGTGCTGATTAGAGTGATGGTACGTCGTTAAACCGACTTCCCCCATTTTTACAATAAGAGCTTAGAAGGAGGTCATTAATATATCGAGCGTACGCACCGAGGCATACGACGTCAGTGTCGCTGGAAATGTTTGGTTTAAAGTGCGCAGACTTTGATTAGATCTTGCATGTATTGTTAGACTGGAAGGCGGGACCTTCTCTTAAAAGAATGAAGACCTTAGACCATTTAAGCGTATTACCATTTTCAAGGCGTAGCGATGGACCATGTATCGTCTGCTTAAGTCGAATGAGGAGAATGCACGATTTCTGATATGCGTTGACTTATTCTACGAATATGTGATGGCCAAGGCTAGTGCGTCGCGAAAAGTTCAGACAGTCGATGAAGGATATGAGAAGTGTATTTTGGTAGTGCTGGGGCTAGCGAAGCGATTCGGTACGATCAATAAACGATATTTCATGTCTGATTTCTTCCGAGCGTTCAAACGATTATACTGTAACGTCAAAAGGAGACAATAGTCTACCCAACCTAAGCTGGTGGTACGGTGGCGAGGATGATCCAGACTCAAATAAGATCAATAAAACTGTATGCTGTGGACATAGGGCAGCAAGAATGGGACTTGTACGCAGAGCGGTTGATGTTCGCGATATCTACCGCACAGAACCGGGAACGGTAATTAACGTTTTGGTATCTGGTTCACGATTGGGATGCTAGAATACCCTTGAAGCCGAACTTACGATAGTATACGTCCAACGTCGTAAGTCAGATCCTGGAAGATGTAGGTAATGCAGTCAAAGACAGTATCAGCGAGCAAGAGAACAGTTGACTAGAATTTGGGAGTAAAGAGTCAAATGCGAGTGCAATTGCATAAAAGGGGTGATCGACCACATGAATTGAACGAAAACACATGTATGGATCTATCTCGACAGAGTAAAAGAACAATGTTCCTGTAGTTTGGCTTATCTTTGGCACAAACCTTTCCGTGATCAAGGACTGTTGGGACACCAAGCCGCACGGTTGGAGAATTGGAAAACTGAATACCGGCTGCTTTCAATTATACACATATCTAAGCTCAGGCAAGTCAGAATATGTCCTGATCGACCAAAGAAAGTGTTAGCAATTTATTATGCAGATCCAGTTGCTTTAACAAATGACTACTACCTGGAGATAATTAGGTATCAGATTATGAAGAGGCGTGTACGAGGTCCAAAAGGTTTGTAGAGACACACTAGTAAAAAAAAAAACCTAGGTGGACGACATCAACAAGAGCTAATAGTTCGTTTAGAGAGTTACGAAGACCCTCTTGGGTACTTGAACTTGATTTAAAATAGTGTAGCCTTTCTTTAAGAGTTTCCCCCAAGCAGACGAGCCATAATCGGCTCAAGCTATGCAGAGTCATGAAAGCTGAAGCTGCAATTCTGATGTCCTTGGAGACATCTCCTGTTCTCCATTGGTGTATGTGATCTTCTAGGGTGAACCGCGGTTTTTATGGGTGTACATGGCATCATGTGCTGTGTCACGGCCCCTCATGAATCGATTAGGGTTTTTAGAGGTCGAACGAAACTTGTACGTTGATCCGTAGTCAAATGGACCGAGCTGCGAAGATGAAATGACAGAAAAATGAAGCAAGCAGATTCAATTGTATTGTATTGAAGGGATATTACAAACTGGTTATGTATGCAAGTAGCCTAGGTGCCTGTTTACGGTTTTGAGCACAGTCGGTAGTGCATGACCATGGGAATGCCGAGTGGGAAAGATTAAAGGCTTCGAACAGGTTAAGCGAAATGTACCCTTCATCACGCTCTAAAAGCACTCCACCACACAGTGAGGTCGTAGAGATGAACAAAAGGAATTTTAGAGGATGTCAAGTTGCATCGACCAAGACTCGTCCCCTAAAAGATCAAACAGATTACGTACTACCACTCCTGGACCGCTCGTCCCCAATGCTTCTTCCAAGAGTTGTAATACGACGCGAGAAATGCGTTCTTCAGCACTAGATCATTACAGATCCACAAGCAGTGGGTCGACTCACAGAGCGCTTGATTATGGTTTCCGTCGAACCGCTCGTAAGCTGCAGCCATCATGGCAAACCAGCCAACCATCTTAAACGACAAAAGTGGGAAGGGAAGTCGGGCAAAAATCGAAGGCTCATCGAGCTGGAAACTTTTGACCATAGCGGTGATACCTACAAGGATTTACACTCTTTGTGACAGCCTACGTTATCGCTGGGGAGACAAATTCACCCCGAAGGCATATCTAGACGTTCTGCCAGGTCGCTTGGATTCATTTCACGTTTCCCCACGAGATGACCAGATCCGCGGGCCACATTTTACTTTCTTTTGCATGAGACCAGGGATCATGTCCGCCCTAAGAGGCGAACTGTTCTCAGTTAGATCCGGATCTGTACCAACAGCGGTCGCCGACGTGATAATCTTTTCGAATGACGACTCGGTATGAGTCCGATTTCCCACACATTGCCGGTTCAGAAGAGTTTTTTAAGGCAACTGCAAATTTAGCAATCGGAGTCGCTGCCGACACAGCGACATGTTTGTTTGCATGTCGAATCGTTTACTTAGAGGTGAAAAAACTAGGAGACTAATTCGACCGTGCTGAGTCTATAGGTTATTTGCAATTTTAGTGGGGCGACAACCAGAATACCGCGACTTGGCCAAAGTCGCCCGCACCACTTCTCTGTCTACGCTCAAGCCAAAATCAAAAGAGTTTAACTTGTCAAAAGACAAAGGCCTACCATTCGCTTTCAAAGGACGAGTCGATAAATCCTATGTGGCGCATGCGCGGATCTTCGAGGTCTTTTGTGAGTGGACGGATACTCAGGCTGTTACGTGGCACCCTTTGTCTGGGTGCCACAAAACTTCACGTACACTAGTACGTGCAGAGGAAGCCAATCTACTTAAACGACTCGGTCAAGTAAAAGGCAAAAAGAGAACTGTATTTAATATAGTGGAGCTATCAAAACAAATTTAATCTTCATCTATATATATTGAACTACGTCGTCGTATGACGACAACCTGCTCACCAATCATTGCGCGCGTCTGGCAGCGATTGATGGCAATCTATGGTTAATATGTCTTTTATCAACCAATCTTGGAGCAGCGCATGAATGTCATCTAAAAGGGATACTATTCCTTCAATATTATCCATCTCGAATAATATTGGTAGAATATTGTCATGCTAGACAAACTCTTTATTGACACCGTATGGTGTCAATTTCATGTAACGGGCTACCCCGTTACACCCCCTAGCCATGAAGCACCCGTTAAATTGAATAGAATTGATTAGGAAAGGGTGACTGCCGTAGTCTAACTCTGGTAAAAGGAGCACTTGTTGATCAAGTTCCATTTATTTGCCAATCCAACGCATGGTTTCAAAACCCAAGCGAGTTGCTACTGCAGAAGCAAGAAAGGCGGCTGCACGCATGCGAGCAGCCGGAGAGAGTACTTCTCACACCTCAGTAGCAGGTGATTCGTCGCTTGCTGCTGTGAACAGTCCACGTGGTGAGTCACCACGTGCAACAAGTGCATCCGCTGCATCTGCAGCGGGTACCGCGAATCGTAATCAGGATGAGTCTGAAATAGAGCTCATCTATTCTGGCGAGTCGGATGATGTATCCGACTCGAAGGTGACTCCTCACGCCTCCGGATCACCCAAGGCAAACAATGCAAGAGCAAGCTTGACTGGCTCTGGTCAACGCGGCGGTATCATGTCCGAGATCTTCGGATCGAGCGATTATTCTGACTAATCTCCGCCTCATCCGAGTCCATTAAACGATAGGACGCGTGGGAATGGTGGTGATGCCCCTACGCATTATCACGAGAGAAGCAGCTCGAGAGATCGAGGTGTCACTGGTGTCAGTGATCACGCTGGCACCAATCAAAAAGTCAGAGACCGATATGTCCTGCGCCACGCTCCCCAAGTGGAGTCTCCGTGGATGCCGTCATTTAGAGAGTTGAACCGGTTGGCCGGCATGACTACCGATGGAGGTCGAATCCCGTTGTTTGATTGCAGGAAGATTTGCCCACCTGATTCCAGCACGGAAACTATTCGTGCTGAGGAAGAATTCTTCACCGATGCGTTCTTCAAACATCAGTGGTACAATGGCAGCCGTGTTCGGGAAGCTAAGGCCTTGGTGCAAGGATTTAATGCTCTCATCCTTAACATCGAGTGCATTGGCTGTGAGGCCTGGCTCGGTAAACTTGTTGCAGCTCGCATCAGGTTTGAGAAGCGCAACCCAGTCGGTGTGCGGTACAAGTTGCACCGGCTATCAAATAGAGGCAGTACTACCCTGTCTCTCGTGGGGTGATTCGTGTCCAGGTTGCCCGGACAACTCGAACCGCTCCCCTAGGGAGGCCTACCTCCCTAACGATCCCTACTGGAGGGCGCACATCTCTTCCGAGATGGCCGAAGGGATTGACACCTTGCAATCCCTGTACTCGCGTTCGGGGAGGTCGTTTTCCGACGGCCCTTCCTTGAATGCAGCGGGTGGGTCTCGTCATACTGCTCGACGAGACCAAGGATACCAACAATCATCTGGGCAAGAAGCCTCCAGCTGTACCACGCCTGTAGATAGCCACGACAGCGGACGAGGTAACTCGTCCGAACAACATTCACATCTCTGTGCTTCAAAATACGCTTCACTAGGAAGCGTTGACCACCTCTTGAGTCCACCAAAGGATGTGGTGGCGGCGGGAACACCTGATCCGGCTCGAGGGTCGGATCAGATTGATGTTCAAGAGCTGAACCGTGTAACGAAACAGTTGCAAGATGACCTGGATCACGAACGAACTCGGCGTTATGGGTTTGAGGATCTTGTAAGGGATAATTACAATTCCCTAACGTACGATCGTTCGGACGATCGTGCCGCTTTTGCGTTAGCGCAACTTAAGAACGAACGTTCGATTCGTTCTCTTCGTGACGAACTGGCTGTAGTTCGTCGATAAATCGCTTAACGGCGTGAGCTGGTCGCTTTGCAAGTCGACCAGACTGGCCTATTGAAACGGGACCACTCTTAGGTGGTCTCGGCTCTTGACCGCGGAGGTGTTCTTCGCCTCTCGAAACGGTCTCGTACTGATAGTACGGGCGGATATGTCCAACGTATAACGTAGGATGCGTACGCATCGTACGGGGCAGTTCAATCGTGTATGCGTTACCCACTCGGCGCAACACACGAAATGGAACGATGTACCTGGGCAGTAATTTAATGCTGCCCACGTTTGTCACTGCGTGTTTCAGTAAATTTACTGTAGACAGTAAAACTAGGTCTCCTTCTTCAAATGAAAGAACATTTGCTCTTCCATGTTTGTCTGCGTTTCGTTTCTGTCTGTCTAGTGCATCTGCAATAGAGTATTGAACGAAGCGGACAACCGCTTCGCGAGTCAGCAGAAATTCCTCTGCTGATTTATCCCTATCAACAGCAGTGCGCTTCGTGTGAACTGCTGAAAGAACTTTCTCTTCACCAGTGAGGGTGTCATCGTCCTCACTTTGGCAGTCATTGGCGATGCTGAGTATACCAGCATCGTCGTCATCATCATTATCGGTATCGATCGCATCGACATCTGTCACGTCGACACCATTGTTGACGGGTGATGAGCAAGAACCAGAGCGGTGATTGTTCGAGCGAGTCTACCCCCCCCCAATTAAACTAGAGTCAAACTCTAATAAGGCGGGTAAACGTGGATGGCGTAGGCCATCACGAAGAACGGTGTATGCGATGTCTTCGCATGCACCGAGTTGTCGATGGCGAATTCCGCCATTGGCAAGAACTCACACCAACTCGTAAACGAGTGGACATACCCTTGAAGTATATCTTCGAGAAAGCTGTTGACGCGTTCTGTCTGACCATTTGTTTCTGGATGGTCAGAAGTCGACATCGTCAAACGTGTTCCAAGTGAACGGAACACGGATTGCCAGAAATCCGCCGTAAAGCGGGGGGCCCTATCGGACACGAGTTTACGGGGTATCCCGTGAAGTAGGAAGGTAGTATAGATGAAGACACGAGCACAGTACTGGGCTGTGATTGACTCCGGTAAAGCAACAAGATGTACCATCTTGCTGAACCGATCAACAAACACTAGAGTACCAGCATTCTTGTGAACGTCTTTGGGAAACCCGAAGACGAAGTCCATCGATACGGACTACCAACACTCTGCCGGAATCGGGAGAGGCTGCAAGTGTGCTCGGGATGAAGGACTATGCTTCATCCGTTGACAAACGTCGCAAGCGCGAATTTATTTGCGCACAAACTCATACTGGCGGGGCCGGTAGAAGGCAGGACTCACCGTGAAGTAAGTATTTTCTCTACCGCGATGCCCACTTATTGGGGCATCGTGACACTCATACATGATGCGCAATCGCAAATCATCATGAGCCGGAACGACGACACGAGGCGTGTTGCCGGTGACAGCTGTATAGTACAGCAGTCCATCACGAACAGAATACCGTTCGGTTGACGACGGGAATTGAGATGTCAAGCTTTTCAAAGCTTGACTGCACGGATTGGATACGTAATTCATCAATCGCAGAAGAGACTCATCTCCTGCGTACGATTTTATCACTCCGTCGAGCAGAATCGACGACGGAACACTCACTGTTAGTTTCGCTGCAGTAGGATCACCCTTACTGTTGTGTTGAGCAGTCTGCTCGAAATCGGGCCGACGTGAAAGAGCATCAGCGACGATCCTAAGTCGTCCCGGTTTATACTAGACGGAGCGGTTATACGCCACGACCACGAAGAGAGACATCTACCTCGCCATTCGTTGCGAGAGGTGTGTACTGTTTACCGGCCGTGCGTAACGACGCATGGTCGGTAAAAAGGATGAAGGGCCTATCTCCAAAGAGATATACCCGAAGATTAGCCAGTGCAAATTTTGTGGCAAGAAGTTCCTTGTCATGCACCGGGTAATAACGCTCAGCTGCTTGCAGCTGATGCGACTGATAACAGACGACGCGCTCAACGCCGTCTGAGTTGTACTGCATTTATGCGAAGCCGATTGCAAAATCGCTGGCGTCACAGACCACATGGAATGGTCTGTCCTGGTCTGCAATCGTCAGCACAGGTGATTGTACCAAGCTTTTCTAGATTCCTTCAAAATAGTGCTGACACTCAGCACTCCATGACCACGACTCGTTTTTCTTTAGCAGACGAGAGAGATGTACAGTCATCTCGACATAGTTGCGCGAGTACTTGTGCAATTACATCGCCAAGCCAAGGAACTTTCGAAGTCCCTTGACGTCGACTGGTCCAGTCGCTAATCTCCTTGATCTTTTCCGGATCAGGACGTACACCGTTTTTACCCACGCTGCAGCCAAGAAGTGGTATTTCGTTCGCTGCGAATGCACACCATTGAGGTTCGCGAACAATTTATGCTCTCGCATTAGAGCAAGAACCTTCCGGACGTGGATTCTATGAACCTCCACGTCCGTCTTTCCATCCATAGCCCGGCTATGGACGAAGATATCGTCGAAGTAACTCGGTGCGAAATCGCGCACCGATCGCAACAGGTTCGTAACACACCTGTAAAACGTTTTGGGGGGCGTTACTTAGCCCCTGTGGCATCACTTACCACTCCCAGAGCATACCACTGGTGGTGCTCACTGCTGTGTAAGGGATATCCCGTTCACGCATGAGGATCTGATAAAATCCATCCATCAGATGCATGGACAAAAGATGGTACTTTTGCCATACCATCAATAATGACTTCCTTCCTTGGGATCGGCGTTTGAGCCGGTAATGTTGCAGCGTTTAATTAATTGAGCGCGTGCACTATCCGCCACCCTCCTGTGGCCTTTCGCACACAGAAGGTCGGAGAGAGGTGTGGGGATGTAAATTTCCTCACACAACCAGCCGCTAAGCGGTCGGCAAAGAATTTGTCGATCGCTGTGACTTGTTCACAAGGCAGTGGTCACTGTTTCATGACACAGTATTTCGAACCGGGTTTCAGTTCGATCTCGTGCCAAGTGCGTTTGTCCTTGGGCATCTTGCATGGCACGGATTCCGGGAAAACATCTCTGAAATCGACCAATTAGTTATACAAAGAAATTTTTCTTCAAAGACTCCCAAGATTGAGACGTGTATCGCTCAATCCAAGTCTTCCCATCGAAGGCACTCTCGTCTATCGATGAGCTACTGAGAACCCGTTCGTTCTCAGCAAACACTTGTGCCGACCGAACATTGGCGACGTACTCGTCCTCTGTGACGAGTACACAGATCTTCTTGATCTTGTCACTACGCAGATCTCGCAAGAATCTTCTAGATTCTAGCGTTGGCAACTTGACTACCTTCGAAGCTGACTTCGGAGGTGTAACAGATCAAGCGTATAAGCGCCTACACTTGATCCGTCATTCATCAAGACATTCACTATTTCGGTGATTTCCTGGGAAAACACATCCGCAGGAGGTTGGGGATCCACACCCACAACATAACTCTCTCGGGAGTTATCATTCTCAGAAATGCTGAATACTTTCTTCCATTACGTGTACTGACTGTGGGTGTACTACCACGATCACGTCCTCTTCGATCGACTCTCTTTCAGTCGAGCGGGCTTGCTCTACGATCGACTCTCTGTTAGTCGATCTCGCTTCAACGTGTAGTTCATCCTGAAAAACACTAATCTCTCTTCTCGGATGCACCTTCTTGGTGTACATCCGTGTTCCAGTCCACTCGATCTCTTCGAGTGGTGAACCATCGGCTCAGCCTGGTCTCTACACAGGTGCTGGAAGCAGGTTCCACAGTGTAGTGTGGCC